GTTTAGATTAAAGAGAATAAAGGAGAGAGAATCATATCTTTCTATTTCTCTCTTCTCCTTTCTTTTTTCATTTAGATAAGTAAATAAATTAAATAAAAAATAAAATAAAAAAAATTTTCCCTCCCTTCCCCTTTTATTCTTTAAATAACTAAATAAAAAATATATTTCTTTTCCCTATCGAGGGCCTCAACCCAAAGATACACATTGGAGAAAAACCAAACTAACTAAACTGCCCAATTCCAAATAAAGGATATGTGTATTAATTAATTTTTCCAGGTAAAAGAGTTAAGAGGATGATAATTTCACCATTTATATTATTATTATTACTATTATTATTATTATTTTTGAACAGCATTTATTATTGGATTTAATATTGGATATCGGGAAAGAAAAATTATTATTGGTCTTTTAAGTTTGGCCCAGCCCATTTATAGCTTCATAAACCAAGCGCCTATTTTCTATAACGATTCCTTTAGGGCTTAGTTTGCCGCGTTAAAGTTTTGCAACTCAGAACTCAGTAATCTCTTCCTCACTCATACTCTCTCTCTCTCTCTCTCAACAGAAAGGTGCGTTAATCTTCTGCATCATCTCCCCTGTTAGCTTAAACAAAATCAATCAACATAGACTTAAAAATGGAAGCTTTTTTGCTTTGATTATTTGTTATTTTGATTTTTTCTGTTTTCTTCTGCCGCATATGTAGGAAACTTGTAAGGGTATAGTGGGAGTCGGTATGCAGGCCTGCAGTGGAGCTGGAATGATGGGTTCTCTGCAACAACCTGTAAGGGCCACAAGACCATCGTTTCCTTTAATGGGGTTTGGCATTTCAGGGTCACCTAACCAAATTAAGCTCAATTCAGTGAGGCCCTGTAAATTGTCTCATGTTGGAGGTAGTTTAGTTACTGGGGCGCTGCCCGCTTCTGTCTCTGTCACTGTGCCGGAAATCAGTGGTTAGTCATTTTCCTTTTATTACACCTTATAATTTGATTTTGATTTTTGAGAGAATTTGTTTGCTCTGTATGTTTCTGATAGTTCGTTCTGCTGAGACCATTTGATTGGAATGAAACTTTGTTGAAGTGTTAGACTTTGGACGCTGGTTTGAGATAGGTGGGATATCCATGTTAAGAGTGATTTATTTTATTGTATGTTATTTAGGTGAGGGAAGCACTTTTGTGGATTATGGGCTCAGTGAAGCAGATCCTGAGGTGCGTGCAATTATTGACAAGGAGAAAGAGAGGCAGTTCAGAAGCCTTGAATTGATTGCCTCTGAAAACTTCACTTCTAGAGCTGTGATGGAGGCTGTTGGTTCATGCCTAACAAACAAGTATTCTGAAGGACTACCTGGTAAAAGGTGAAGTAGATGAATCAAGCAGAGTTAATATTTCCAGTATTGCTATGAGTTATATTTGAGGAAATTTTTATAGCTGAAATAAGAACTTTGTTTTCAGATATTATGGTGGAAATGAATATATAGATGAACTTGAAACTCTTTGTCAAAAAAGGGCTTTAGCAGCATTTCACTTAGATGAAACTAACTGGGGTGTTAACGTTCAACCGTTGTCGGGTTCTCCTGCCAATTTTGAGGTTTATACAGCAATTCTCAAGCCACATGATCGCATAATGGTAAAATACTTTTGCCTTTTAAGTTCTCTTGCTAGAATTCTCTCTCTTGACAAAACACAAAAGAATTAACTGTGGAGGCTAGTGGAACAGGGTTTGGACTTACCTCATGGGGGCCATTTGTCACATGGGTTCATGACCCCTAAAAGACGGGTATCTGGGACCTCTATTTATTTTGAATCCATGCCTTATCGACTTGATGAATCTACAGGTGGTGCTTTCTTATTATAAATTTTGCAAATGTAGGATTTTTGATATTGTGTTGTGGTGGTTCATTCTTTTCAATGAATGATATTTTAACAGGTCTTGTTGATTATGATATGCTTGAGAAAACTGCAATTCTCTTTCGACCTAAACTCATTATTGCTGGTGCTAGTGCATATCCTCGAGATTTTGACTATCCTCGCATGAGGAAGGTAAGGATTTATGTGGGTGCTGGTAATGCTGTTACCTTTCCTGAAAAAATGTTTGCGTATTTTTCTTGTCTAACTTAAAATTTATGCACTTTGGAAGATTGCTGATTCTGTTGGTGCATTTCTGATGATGGATATGGCACACATTAGTGGACTTGTTGCTGCTTCTGTGGTTGCCGACCCCTTTGAGTATTGTGATATTGTGACAACAACAACACATAAGGTATGGATTGTACTATTTTAGACTTTTATAGTGGGCTACACTTGTCTGAATTCACCTCTTTATAATGATTTTGACTTTTGGTTTTCCCTTTCTTAATTCTGATGCTTTTAAATTGAGAAGAAATGCTGTTTGTGTGCATTATTCTGTGAATGTTTTTTTGCATGACCTGGACCTCTGTTTCTCTCATTCCTTTGCATCCAGTTATTAAGTTGATCTTTTTTTATTTAAATCCTATTATCCAAAGTTATTAATTCAACCATGATGTAGTGATTCAACGTATTAAAGATGGACTACTAAATAGCATTTGAAATTTCCAAAAACTATTTGTGTTTCTGTACTTAGTTGAATCTACATAACCAACTGTATTTGCTCCCTTATTTTCAGTCTTTGAGAGGTCCACGAGGAGGCATGATCTTTTTTAGAAAGGATCCTGTTCTAGGAGTTGATTTGGAATCTGCTATTAATAATGCTGTTTTCCCAGGTTTACAGGTAAGCTTGACCCTGTCTCATTTTTTTTCCTGTGATTGCTTGTCTCAATAAAATTCCTCTTGCCCTTCCTTATCTGGATGGTCAAATTGATCACCTTTAGTTATTATGAACCTAGTTATACCATTATAGAATATAAAAGTCACAATTCTATCCATGCAGGGTGGTCCTCATAACCACACAATTGGTGGACTTGCGGTTTGCTTGAAACATGCACAGTCCCTGGAGTTCAAGGCTTACCAGAATAAGGTACTTTTCTTTCTTGGGGGGAAAACAAGCCTGGAGGACATCATAACGTAACAGACTTAAATGTAGATGCTTTGTGTTATAGGTTGTCTCTAACTGTAGAGCTCTAGCAAGTCGACTGCTTGAGCTAGGCTACAAACTGGTTTCTGGTGGGAGTGACAATCACCTGGTACTTGTGGATCTTAGGCCAATGGTAAGTTTCTTGTTTACTTGTTATACTTTTTGGCTTTTGGACTGCAAAACTATCTTGTAGAAGAGCTGCCAACACCTCAAAAATGTCTTAACTTGTGGTCTTCCCTACAGAGTATACTGAGATTTCTGGTAACCTTATTGGTGAGAGTAGGACCGTTACATTTTCTGGTGTAAAGATAGTTTTTGCACTACCATCACCTCCTCCACTGCCACAATAAGCACATGTAGACAACTGCCACTTAAGCCATTAGTGTCACTGCCCCCATCTCAATCTCATGCAGAACTTGCTTTGCATTTCTGTTCTCAGTAATTCTAACTCATAATTATTCTCAATTTGATTGAAATTTCAATTTTATGATTTCAGTGCTTATTAGCCTTCAATTTTTAATAAAGCAAAATAATTCACAATTGAAGATGATCATCAATACAGTTTATACTTGACTTCTGATGTGATTATGTTCATACTTGGGGGCTTGGTCAATTATTTGTTTTCATTTCAGAAATAGATGCTGTTAATTAGAAGAAGACTAAAAAAAGATTTCCGAATTCTGATGTTATACACCAAAGTAGTTGTGGCTCTGCAGTGACAAAACTAATTTGATGTCTTTCCATCAACAGGGAATTGATGGCGCTCGAGCGGAGAAAATTCTTGACATGGCCTCTATCACCCTGAACAAAAATTCTGTCCCTGGTAGGTTTTGCAGTTGCTATTTGCTTTTCCTCCCTTCATCCTAGGAAGAAGAAAGCTTCTCGTTTGCTATACATACAGTACTAATCTCCATTTTCATAGGTGACAAGAGCGCACTTGTGCCAGGAGGCATTCGCATTGGTTCACCTGCAATGACCACCAGAGGATTCACAGAAAAGGAGTTTAAACTCATAGCTGATTTCATCCATGAAGGTGTTCAATTAACCATAGATGCTAAACGCTCAGTATCCGGATCAAAACTCCAGGATTTCTTGAACTTTGTCGCATCTCCTGATTTCCCTCTGAGGGATAAGGTGTCGGACCTTGGTAGCAGAGTCGAAGCACTCACAGCCCAGTTCCCAATACCTGGTGTGTGAATCAGATGGTAGGCTTGTGGAAGTCTACAAAGTTAGTAAACATGTATCTTATCAGTTTTCTTAACAGGAAGATGAGAATTTAAGATGAAAATTTTCGAAAGTTTTGGGATGTTGAGCTGGATTTCACCTGATTATTATCAAGTAATAAATAAAGAAAGAAGGCAAACTAGAAAAATTATCTTATCTATCTCAAAGTTTTTTAATTTTTTATATTTTTATTTATGCTATTCTTAAGAAAGAAATTAAAAATAAAAATAAGCTCTTTATTATAAGATGATTAATTAAAATAAATAAATAAATAATGATAAATTTAAATTAAAAAGTAATTATTGTTTAAAAACCGATGAAATATGTAGTATGTGCTCTCTTTGGTTTAGAAATATAATCTTTTTGACAAGAAAAAAATTGTCTGAAATGAGATCGCACAGTCACAACAGCCTGGAAAAGTAAATATGGGCCAATTTCAGCCCAAATAAACTAAACGAAAGGTCCAAGGTGGAAAGGTAAACATTTTTGTAGCCCAACCCCTTCCGACCTCTTCCTCGCCGTCTTTTTTTTTTCTTTTTTGATAAAAGAACTTCTTCCTCGTCGTCACCTACACAGACCACAATCCCTAGCCGCCAAAAGAATTTCGATTTTTCTCAAATACTCTGTGCATCTCTGCATTCTGAGGTCTGCACCACCTTCACTCGGCCCCGTGGACTTCCTTGTTCTTGTTTCGTCTCCTCCGTCGAGGGTTTGTATCATTCTCTTTATAAACATCCACCTGTACCTCGTCTCCCCCCACTCTTAAGCTGATTTTGTCCCGCCAGTACTCAACGACTTGAAATCTTTGGTCGCAACAGACCCAGCAAGGGTATTGCTTTGAATTCATCTCCTTTTTGCTTCTATTGTTTTTGTATTTTGCATACCTTCGTTTCTGATTGAAACCATTATAGTTTAGTGGATGATGAGATGATGTTTATCTTATTGATGTTAAATTATACTTTATAGTTGGAGTGCATTTTGTTGGCTTCATTCTTTTGATTGATGTTCTTTTTGAATGACAAATAACACTCGAAATTTTGATTCTTCTTCTTGATTTCTCTCAGTAAACATATGGAACCTTAATTTCATTTTGATTTGTGAACCATGATTCATGAATTTCTCTGTAACTTTCATCTTCTGGTAATAGCTGATGGGTAAGAAGAAATCTGCAAAATTACTCGCAAACAAGGAAGAAGAAAAAGAAGAACTTGTTGTGGAGCAGATTCAGAAACAACCCTCTACCACGCCCAAGAAGGGTGGTAATGAAATTGATGAAATCTTTGCCGGTAAAAAGAGGAAGAGACCTGAACAAGAAAAGACTGAGAAGCGAAAGGTTGATGAAGGTTCGAAACCAAAATCCAATAAGAAAAACAAGGACAAGAGTAAAGGAGTTAGGGAGGGTGGATGTGTTGACCCTGCCAAGCCTCGGAAGAGAACTGAGGATGGGCTAGTAATTTACACTGAACAGGAGCTGGGGCTTAATAAAGCTAGTGCTGGAGGTACCCCACTTTGCCCTTTTGACTGTGATTGTTGCTTCTGATGTTATGCACAATGGATCCACTTAAGAGTGTTGAGTTGAGATCTCTGTACTCTCAAATTTGCAATTACAATTTTGATTTTACAGTCTACGGAATTTTGAGAAACAGCACTGCCAGTGATTTTAAATGTTAATTAGGTTTACAATCACATATCGAAGGCTTGCAGGTGGCTTTATTGAAAAACCTGTGGGCTCAAAAGCTGTGCAAGATCATAGAATCATCCTTTGAATGTTGGCCTCTTGTTTTACCCATTTCTCTAGCTTGAGGCCTTCATGGTGGAAGATCACATTTTCTTAATGCTTAGTTGCAAAAATATTACTCCCTCTATTTATTTTTAGTAGAACCTAATTTTCTATTTGAAGCATTTCAATTTAGTTGTTCACTTTTCTTTGTTATTGGAAATTTTCATTCTTATTTTACCCTTGTTTTAAAAAAATAAGTATAATATATATTAAATAAAAAATTTTATGTAAGTAATATTTAATTAAAGATAAATATAAATTTTTATTAATAAATCATTATATTTTTATTTTGTTGAAAAAAGAAACCTAGATTTATTGAAAATGAACGGAAGGAGTAGGTAATTGGGTGGCTTAACTCGTAGGAAACAATGGAAACAGGTGCAAAACCTGACCGACCACCAATCTTTTGTGAATGATTAGAAATGGGAGAGATGTTTTCTTTCAGGTGTTGGTTAACTTATTACTACGAGAATCAAGTTCCTTGACAAAGCAAATTTAATTTATCTACTCAAAGTTCAAGGGTAGAAGGATAGAAGAATACATCCTCCTGTTGCCAAAAACTTTGTAGCGGGAAAACAATAAAACCTTATCTGCAGTTCTTGGAACCAACAGGAACTTGAACTCAAATATGCTGACAATCCATGCTTCATCCTTTAAAGGTTGTCAACTCCATTATTTCCTTGAACAACAATGTCTATGGAAACAGATTTTGTCAATGACACTCACTTCTTCTCGCATTTGTCCAAATGTGCTAACAAGTGACTCGAGAAAACCTGAGAAAACAACTCGAGATTCTCAGCAATGAATTTTAGCTAAACTAAAAGAACGATTATCTAACTTAGTTAAGCTATTTAGCTACTTTAAATTTGAAGGAAACCAAGCAAGGGCGTAAGGCTTCCTCTCCAATCGTGTAAGTAGCTCAATTCAGTACTATGCAAAACGTGGCTTGCATAAAACCCTAATTATTTTATGGTTAAATTTGTCATAATATTTTAAAATTTTCAAATTGCTAACAATTCGGGGGTAAAAAGCTGTTTTTGAGAGACTTTTTTAATTCCTTAGCAAATTAAACTTTAACTGCTAACCATTAATATCAAATCGTTAAATAAAATTTTTTAGCAAACACTAAATATTTATGAGGAAAAAAAAAATTACCAAACACTTTTACATTATAATTTGAACAAAATCGTTAACTATTAATTTCCAAGTGTTATACTACACCCTTAGTTACATAGGCAAAGCCATGAAGAGACAAGGGAGGGCCATGGCCCCTCTGGCCTTTTGAAAAATTTTTAAATTAGTATTCAAATTTTATATTTTACCAATTTCATCCTTAAATTTTATTTTATTAACCTAATTATTTTTAAAATTTGTAAAAATAATTGTTATTAGTCATTTTGTAAATCTTCTATTAAGTTCAAAACAAAATATTCACATAAGAATTAAGAAGTCTTTAAAGCTAATCTCTTAAACATAAAAATTAACTTTTAATCTCTAATACTTTTAGTCAAAAAAATAGGTAGGAATGAAACATCTTTATACTTCAATGTAATGACATTAAAAGTTTAGTCCTTAAATATTAAAAACTTAATAGTTGAGACCTTATACTATTGAGAGAAGTTTAGGGATCCATTTCATGTTTACTAAACAAATGACTTGGTAGACTAATTACATGTAAATGCACACTTGACATGTGAAGGCATGGTGAGAGAAGTGCAGTATAGATTGGAAGTGGAATGTATTAAAATCCCACTAACTTTGGTCAGAATTATTATGCTTTTAGAAATATATGACCAAAATGAATTCTATTTTCTCTTTTGTTCTGGCACCAGATGTGAGCAAAATAGAAATAGAGGAGTGTTGGCCTTGCAGTAAAGGTGACAGCAAAATTGAGAGTTTCGGAGGAGTTTGGGTCCAAACTCATTTGATATGAGGTAAATAAGTTTTAAGCTTAAAAAAATTAAACTAAATTAAATTTTCTAAAATTTAAGTAGAAATTTAAGTATGGATTTTCAAAATTTACCTCTACACAAGAATTTAGAAACATGCAAAAAGAGGTGGACACTTACTATTAGTTTACCTTTAAAATGATCTTGGTAACTTCTACATTTTTTTTGTTCTTGTGGGGTTTTTCTGGTGAATTAGATGTTGGCAGGATGCATTATAAAGATGTGCTAGTTGCAGTTTTGCACATGACAATGCAAATTGGTGATTGTGTGAGTTAAAATAGTCTTCATGTAATATGTGAGTTAACTAGAAGTATCAAATTCCTTGTCAACCGATGAATAGAAATCTATTATGATAAAAATTTCAGCTGGAATCTACAGCAGTATTTAGAAACTACCTATTTTGGGATGTTACAAGGAAAATATATGAACTTTTAACATTTCTCCGCTTTGTTCTCCTTCCTGCTTTATTTTGGGAAAAACTATAGATTATCATCTTTGTAGTGCCTAAAATTAATCTAAAATATTCATTTTAGTCACTACATCACTATTTTCTTCCTAGGTCAAACATCAAAACTTTACCTCTAACTCATAAATTTTTTTCTTGAGTTAAATCTATTTATTTTATGTTGCTATTTCTCATACTAATTTTTCATATGTTTCTAAATTTGTAGACATTTTTTTAGATGTGTTTTATTTCATGCTTTTTTTCCCTAAAAATGTAACTAGATAATTATTCATTAATTAATCACAAAAAATTTCAAGATACAATAAATTTCAAATTGAGCTAGCTAAGTTAATTGTATTAAGACACAAGTTTATAATTTTAAAACTATATGTTAATCCCTCTTATTCTATTCAGTCTTCTCACTTCATCAACTTTATATTAATTAACATAATAATTTTATATAACAACTAAATAACACAAATATTCCACAAAAATTATATTTAAAAAAATTAATTATTATCTGTTCATTATATAAAATTATCAAATTAAATTAACATAACTAAAATAAATCAAAGATAATAATTCTTTTAAGGCATATATATGTTTTTGATAAAAGACACAAGTTTGATTTAGACATTGATTTCTTTTTCTTTTTTTTTTTTGTTTTTTCCTTGGTAGAGTTAGGGATGGCAATTTCCTCCACGACCTGTGGAGCTTCGCGAAGATTCTCGCTACGGGGATGGAGATTCCAAAAATATTTCTTCCCGTGGGGCGGGGATGGAGGCATTTTTTTCCTCGTAAAATTTCGTGGGGAATTTCCTCCACCTCATAGAGAACTGTGGGGATCCATATAAAATAAAAAATATATACATTTATTTTTATATATTTTTGTAAATATATTAACAATTAATTTTTATTTATCCAACTTAATTAGCTAACCCAATACCAATACAATCTAAATTTTACAACTCATTCTTTTTTCAGTTTCTTAAATCCAATTGTCAAGTCCAGCCTATTCTTTTTGTCAATCTAGTCTTCCTAAACTTAATTGCCCAACCAAATTTGCATTGGTAACCCTAGAAGAACTATCCAAAGATCTCAATTTTAGATTTGCGATTCCTCCTATCTAGTCTCCTTTACGGCTCTGCACTGTAACTCTATTTCTACTTCCCAATCCTCATCTATGATTTCCTTCAAGCTCTCATTGTCACTACCCATTATGCAACCACTACAATGCTGATATTCTCCTATCTCTCACTCACACTCAAACTCAATAACTCTTCTCCAATCTCTCAACTAGCCATCGGTAACTCATCTCTTTTATGCCTTTTTTTCTTAATGAACTTATTGCTGGACATGTATGGCCATAGTTTATGCATTTTTTTTCTAGGAACTTTGTTGATGACGGTGGCAGTTTATGCCTTTTTTTTATGAATCTTTTGCTAAATTTGTTGGACTTATATGGCAATTTATGCTTTTTTTCTTTATGAACTTGTTGCTGACTTGTTGGACTTACTAGATAAGTATATATTGGCTGTGTATATTTACTGCTTATTTGTCTTGTTTCAAATTTTTACTTTATATGATTATTTGACCTAATTTTATTTGATGAATGTGGAAACTAGTGGAATCTAAGCAGACTCATATTGAGCTTAATTTTGATTAACAAGTAGTGGAGCAAGTGATAGTTTTATTTGGCGGGGACTTCAAATACTCGCGGGGACCTATTATTTCCTGTAGAGATGGAGACCAAAGTTATTTTTGAACCTCCACTAAAAATCCCCGTGGGGATCCCCGTGCTCACCATTGGTGGGGATGGGGATGGGGAAGGGGTCCTCGCCCTCGTGGGGATCCATTGCCATCCCTAGGTAAAGTGTGTTTAAAAAAAGTTAAATTGCCATTTTGGTCCCTGAACTATTGTACGGACCTCTGATTTGGTCCTTGAACTAAAGAAATCTCTGATTTGATCCCTAAACTATTGTACGGACCTCTGATTTGATCCCACTGTTTATAATTTGGCCTAAGTTGATCCTTGAACTATTGTACGAACCCCTAATTTGATCCTTACTGTTTACAATTTCGCCCCAATTTGGCCCCTTAGCTATTATTTAATAGAAAAACCAAGTTGGAGCTAAATTAGTAAACAGTAAGAACCAAATTGAGGATCCGTATAATAGTTTAAGGACTAACTTGAGATCCGTACAATAGTTTAGGGACCAACTCAGGCTCTGTACAATAGTTTAAAAACTAAATTAAAAATTTTTTTAGTTCAAGGATCAATTCGAAAGTCCATATAATAGTTCAGAACCAAAATAGAGTTTAACCTTTAAAGAATTAAGACCAGTGGAAACAAGGAAACGACCAGCCAACTGTTTCCGCGTTATTTGTCACATTTTTCTAGAAAGTGACCCCTTTTCCGCGTTGAGCTCAGCAATTCCATTGCCAGTGTTGTTGACACACTTTCCCTCTACTCCACCAATGACCAATCCCCACATCCTTCCGTGTCCATTACTTCACCACCACTTCGCGTGTACCAGATATCTCGTTTCCCAAACCCTTTTCACTCGTGCCCACTTCCATCATTACTCCAAAATATTAAAAAAAAAAAAAGTCTAGAAAGAGAAAAGAAAAAGTCAGTCAAACTACCTACTGTACCATTAATCTTGACCATTCTTTTGTTTTTGCTTAATTTTGGTAGCTCTCTGGTTTTTCCTCCTTAACCCCATAACCAAACAAAATCAATACCGTTTTCCGTTCCATTGCCATTTAAGTAATAATAAAAAACGGACTTACATACTTAAAGAAAAAATAATAATTATTAGACGAATTAAATTAAAGAATTGGACAATTAATTAAGGGTTATTTTTCATTATTAATTATTAAAATTTTTTATGATAATTTTTTTAAGAATTTAGGATTCAACACTTCTAAGAAAATTTATTGAATCATAACTAATGGTAAAAAGTCGGGCAAAACCATACAGTAAGCCCTTAAACTAATCTCAAATTTGCTATTGAGTCTCTAAATGTTAATTGATGCATATAAACCCTTAAACTCTACAATTTAAACAATTTAGCTTTTAATTTTTACCGTCATTAAAAAATTAAGAGCTAAATTGCTCAGTTTATAAAGTTAAAGGACTCATGCATTAATTAAAATCTAAGGACCAATAGCAAATTTGAAGTTAGTTTAATTAAGAGAGTTAATATAGTTTTGCCTAAACGTAGTACGAGTTAGCATTAGAAGAAAGCAAAAAAGAGTACTCCTAATTAAGTCCTAAAAATTCCGCCCTTTACCACTTAATGAAAACCCTAAAAAAAGAGCAAAAATAATGGACTAATTTTATACACATTGAAGTATATACGAAACCTACTTGTTGTTCTTCAATTCCCTCTCAGGCATTGTTCATCATCTTCTTAAACTCCTCGAAATTCACCTTGCCGTCGCCGTTCTTATCGACCTGGCTGATCATCTTCTTGCAGTCACTCAACGTGCACTTACCCCCAAGCTTCCTCAACACCGAATGCAACTCGTTGGCGGTAATCACCCCGTCCCCGTCCAGGTCGTACATATCGAAGGCCTGCTTCAGTTCTTGGTTCTCGTTGCTGCTGCTTTCCTTGTTAAAAGCGATAAACTCCTCCTGGTCGATAAAGCCGTCTCCATCCTTGTCCATCTCCGCCATTGCTTTCCGCACCTCCTCAGCCGACTGATTCCACCCCAGCGCGGCGTGGATTTCTTTCAGCTCGTCGAAGGAGATCTTCCCGTCGCCGTTCTTATCATACGTTTTGAACATGTTCCTGGCAACCTCTTCTGAAGTCGCCATTGTAGAGAGGAGTGAAAAAAAAAAAAAAAAAAAAAAGGAATTCCTAGAATTAAGATTTCCTTCCCCCCCACCCCTTCTGAGGTCTAGTCTGGGATTCAATCGGTTTATATAGAGAAAATGTGGTCCCAGGACGCGTTTTTTTTTTTCTTTGGAACGCGCAAATCCAAAAAAAATTATAGGCAAAAAGCCCCCAAACTTATCACAAAATAACATTTAAAGCCTTAAATTAAAAATTAAGCAGGTAAGCTCTTCTTCAATCCCATTAATCATGCAAATAAATCTTTCTCATTCATGGATGTTTATGCTTTTAAGGTGATATTAAATATAAAATAGCATTTAGTCTGTTTGTGAGAAAAGTTTATTCACATTATTAATAGAGTTAGAGAACTTATCTACTTTATTTTTAGTTTAAGAGTTTAAATATTATTTTGAGATAAGTTGGCTTAAAAAGGGATTTTGCCAAAATTATAAGAGGGGTGCTAGGGGCACTCGCCTCCTCCTGTAATCTCCGGTCAACACTTTCACTTTTATTGGCTCACGTTATTCTTTTTTTTTTTTTTTGGTACATCAGAAGCTACAGTTTCAGCTTATCGCCTAAGGAACATGGTCCCTATATGATCACTTTGTAAGATCATATGAATATCCACCGGAGGTGTGGGAAAAGGTGTAGTGCCCAAAGTTAATTCGTGACCCATGGATGCCATAAAATCCGCAGCTAAATTCCCCTCCCTGAGAGTGTGTTGTACCAGGCAACTGCTAAAGAAATCTATCAACATGAAGATGTCCGTAAGAAGCGCCGAGGCTGGTCCGGCTGAAACTTGTCGATTTTGAATGAGTTGTATTGCAAGTAAAGAGTCCATTTCTAAGACCAACTGTTGTATCCCCAGAGAGTGAGCAAGCTTGAGACCTTCTCTGCAACCCCACAACTCAGCCAAGAAACTTGTTGTGAGACCAACGTTTACAGCAAAGCCATGAACCCAACGCCCGTTGTGATCACGAATGAGTCCTCCAGCTGCTGCTTTTCCTGAGTGATGATTGTGGGATCCATCGGTGTTTAGTTTAAGATAAGGATGTGGTGGTGGGGTCCAAGAGACCCATCTGGGAGCTCTAGTGTCATGAATCAGATTAACTGATTCCAAGGCAAATCTTGATTCCAAAGCAAAGGTGTGAGCCTGGTTAGCAACAAGATGTGGCGGAATCCGTTGCCCTTCAAACACCAATTTGTTCCTACTCTTCCACAAGTGCCAGATGGTTGCGACAAAGACAAATGGCCATAAGTCCGGAGAGTTGGTCTTTCGCCTTGGTGTGATAGCATTCCTTTTCAACCAAGAATCAAAGTTCAGAGAAAGGAAGTCAGTAGGTAGAAGACTCACCGACTGCCAAACTAGCCGCGAGTAGAAACAATCTCTTAGGAGGTGTAGAGGGGTTTCGGGTGATTGCTCATAGCGAGGGCACACTGGCGTAGGAGCCATGTGGTGCTCGAAGCGAACGGAGTTTGTGAGAATTTTTCCTCTCCAAAGCAACCAAATGAAGAGCTTCACTCTCTCGGTGCAGCCTAAGTGCCAAATCCAGGTCCAGTCCTCAGGTCTAGGAGCATTAGGAATTCTAGACTGTTGAATAAGGCTAAAAGCTGACTTTACGGTGAAGTCACCACATGAAGCAGCATTCCAATAAATTTGATCATTCAAGTGGCCAGATATTGATAACGGAATGGTTGCTATAAGTTGAAGTACATTTTCTGGAAGAAGATCAGTTAGTTGTATCAGATTCCATTTTGAATTACTAATGATATCAGAGACCTTCATACCAAGTAGGTGCTGTGGGATCGGGGCTATTGTAGATTCCAAAAGTGTTGAGTTACCTACCCAGATGTCATTCCAAAGCTGTATGTTACAGCCAGATCCTACTCTCCATCGTGTTCCCAACTGTAAAACCTCTCTAGTTTTCAAGATGCTTCGCCACGTTATGGATGAAGAAGGCGTGGGCGTGCAACTAGAGAAACTCGCTGAATGAAGGTATTTATGCTTGATAGCTTGGCACCATGGCTTCTCACTCCCTGAAAGTATTTGCCAGCCTAACTTGGCAATCAAAGCCTTGTTACACTCTTTGGCAGATCTCACACCCAGTCCACCATATCTCCTCGGTAAACATACATCATTCCAATGGACAAGGTGTGGTTTGTTAGTTTGTATATCTGAACCCCAAAGGAATTTGCGATTCAAGGAATCTATGGCTGAACATGTGCTGCTAGGAAGGAGAACTTTTTGCATGGTATAGGTTGGTATCGAGGAGGTTACCGATTGCACAAGTGTTCTCCTACCCGCCAGACTTAGGGACTTCTATTTCCACCCTGCAAGCTTAATCTGCATCTTTTCAAGAATATATTTGTAGTTGCTGGCCTTGAACCTGCCATGGATAATAGGCACCCCAAGGTAAATGCCAAGATAATGCGTTAGAGGGATGCCACAAGCAGAACTGAAGGAGTTTGCTAACTGTCCCTGGATATTTGGAGAAACAAATAACTTAGACTTGCCCAAGTTTATCTCTAATCTTGATTGTCTTGCAAATTCAGAGAGACAATCTATAATAGTTTCAATTTGAGTGATTGAAGCTTTCCCAAACAACATGAGATCATCTGCAAAAAACAAATGTGAGAGTGTTAGTCCCCCGCGTGACAGTTGGAAAGGCGTCCATTTGTGTTCTTGCAATTGACTCATAATCATATGGGAGAGTTTCTCCATCACCATAATGAAGAGGTACAGCGATAAGGGGTCGCCTTGACGTAGACCTCTCTTTGGCTGGAAGTAAGGTAATTCCTCTCCATTCCAAATGACAGAAAGCTGCAATGAAGTAACTGAAAACATGATCAATCGAACTAATTGATCCGGCAGGTTGAAATCAATCAATACTTCCCTGAGGTAGTTCCAATCTACACTGTCGAAGGCTTTATGGAGGTCTATCTTGAATGCTAGGGCCCCTTTTTTCCCTTTTAGCCGCCTCATAGAATGGATAGCCTCTTGAACTAGAATGATGTTATCCGTTGTACTTCTAACTGCGAGAAAACTGCTCTGTAAAGGGCCAATTAGGTTCTGTAAGTGAGGACGTAATCTGTTAACAATTACTTTGGACAGGATTTTGTAGGCTACATTAAGCAAGCAAATCGGTCGAAACTTCTGTATCACATCCGGGCTTTCTCCTTTAGGAATAAGAATAGTATGGGCCTGTAACATAGTGAGCTCAAAGAAACCATCAGAAAAAGACTTGTTGATAAAGGAATGAAGCGTACCCGAAATAATATCCCAATGTTTCTGATAGAAGATCGGTTGAATACCATCAGGACTAGGACTTTTGAGACCTTTCATGGAAAAGAGAGCTAATTTGACTTCCTCCATGGAAATAGGAAGCAACAAAGAAGCACTATCTTCATCTGACATTT